AAAAAAAAATAATAATGTGGGTTTTTTTTTTAAAAAAAATTAATCATTTTTTGTGTATCAATATGGAACTCTATAGAAAGATGACGGAAAATCATGAACAATGGTATATTCGGTTTTTTTTTTCGATAAAAAACATGGCCTAAAAATGAAAAAAAGTAAGTGAGTTTTGTTATAATCCGGTGCATCTACGTCCATTGTAAAAATTTACAACACTTTCTTTTGCCGTTGATTGTTTTAAATTCCGACGTTTTAGATTGATTCATTGGTTTTTGATGAATAATTGTTCTCTATTGAACTTATATATATATATATATATATATATATATATATATATATATATATATATATATATATATATAGATATATATATATATATATATATATATATATATAGGTTTAGGTTCTATGGAAAACAAAAAACCCTAAAATAATTAAAATGCATAAAAAAAAAATACTGAGAGATCACAAAACTTTTTTTTGAATTTTTTTATCAAAAAATCGCAACTTTTAGGTCAAAATCGCTGAAATTTTTTTTTGACAAAAAATTTTTTTTACAAAAAAAAAAAAAAAAATTGATTTTTTATTTTTTTTCAACGAAATTGTAAAAAATGCTGCGATTTTTTGATAAAAAAATTCAAAAAAAAGTGTTGTGATGTGTTGGTATTTTTTTATGCATTTTTATGATTTTTAGGGTTTTTTTTTGTTTTCCAAATATATATATATATATATATATATATATATATATATATAGGGAAGGGTTATATGGAAACAAAAAAAAACCCTAAACAAACCCTAAAAATCATAAAAATTCATAAAAAAATAGTTAGAGATCACAAAACTTTTTTTTTTACTTTTTATATATAAAAATCGCAGGTATTTTAACATTTTAGCTGAAAAAAAATAAAAAGTCATTTTTTTAAATTTTTTTTTTCAACGATACATATTTCAAATTTGTTGTTATTATAAAACTATTTATGAATATGTATATATTAGAGATGCATATTTCAAATCGGTTTTTTGAGAGCCATTGGAAAAAACTACACCAGTTTTTTTGCGAACCGGTTAAGTTAAAACCGATTCAGATTGTTATAGAAGAAAAAACGGCAAAAAAACCTATATCAGTCATATAATAAAACTTATTCGAAACCGATGGTTCGGTTTTAACTTAACCGGTTCTCAAAAAAACTGGTGTAGTTTTTTCCAATGGCTCTCAAAAAACCGATTTGAAATATGCATCTCTAATATATACATATTCATAAATAGGTTTATAATAACAACAAATTTCATTAAAAACTACCACCCTAGCTAGGAGATAGAGAAGATAGAAAAACCAAGAGTTATATAGAAATTACAACCGTTTAAGGAATTTTAATCCACTCGGTGAACCTATTGTAGGCCTGAAGGAGTGTCCGGCTTGTTGTGCATTTCGCACACAAGTTCAATAAACCCAACCCTTTTTTGGTTCATATTTTCATCCCTATAAACAATAGAGAACATTTTAACGTGTTTGACAAAACTAGCTTATAGTTGGAAGCGATAATTTTTATTTATTATATGAATGTTTGGCAAGATTAGTTTAAAGATTTTGAAATGTTTAAAATTACATAAAAGAATAATTTTTTAAAACAGATAAATATGTAAATATATTTTTAAAGGTAATTATGAAAATTAATTCAAAAAGCTTAATAGCTTTTTCTTAAACTCTACATTAAGTGGCTTTTAGATTTTGAACATTTTATTTGAATGAAAGCTAAAAACAAGTACTAACAAACGAGTATTTTATTTAAATCAAACGTTTTGTAAAAACTAAAAGTTAGAAGCTCTCAAACAATCATTATCATACGCACTCTTTGTGTGATACAAATCTTATAAGACTTAAAAACCTTTGTAGTTATAAACTCACTTTCTTTTGAATCTCCCACCAATATAGGATGAAATAACAAAACTCATTAAACTTCCTTATTAACTCAATCTAACAATCTTATTTTAATCTTAAAAGTATCACAAATAAAAACACAAACATATAACCATTTGTTTATTTTAATAATGTCTATGGTTTGAAATCTTGTTCAAAAACAAAATCATTTTGATAATTGGCCAAACCAATTTTTTCAACAAGTTTAACTTTAGGAGACGTGAGAGAAATTCTAAGAAACGCCAATTTTAAAATTAAAATGAGTAAAATGTGTAGGATACTTGTACATAAAATATGCTTTCCCCATTAAACTTGGAATTTATGTAAATGTGGGCCGCCTAAATCAAGGTCATACGTACCTTTTAAGGTTGTACGACCATCTCATACAAAAAGAAAACTATCATTCATACATTTAAGAAACACCAATTTTAATTTGCCATCTATTTTGAACAAATTAAGGCTAATAATACACGTGTATTTATTCATAAAGTATAACATATAGATCCAAATTAAAATCTTCTATATAAAAGCTTTTCCTTTTTATCGACACAAAAGAAAACGAAAAAGGTCCATTAGGGTACTTGGGGATCCACAAAAATACAAGTTGCATATTCCTCTCCACATATCAAGTGATGTGTAAAGTTGATATTTGTTACCTTCCAATTTCATGAAATTGACTACTGCCTCCTCCATCATTCCACAACCACATTTCCCACAACTGCATTTCTCTCTTATTTCAATTATCTTAAGAAAAGAACCCATATTTTACTTTAATGAAAATTAACAAAATAATCCTATTTGGGTAGTGTATTTGAAAAAATAATAACTTGCTTTTTCATATATAACTGAATGCTCACTAATTCCATAACCATGATTATTGCGATTGCAAAATATAAATTGTGGTCCAAACTATTTAAGATTTATTTTTGGATCTTGGAAAATTTATTTTGATTACTAATGTTGAAATATCCCTCAAACCATTTCAAATTTTAAGAATTTATTTCGTAATATGGAACATACTAGTTCGCAATGCCTTCAAAATATGTAAGTTATGGTTTTAGCTTACCATTTCACATATTTTGTAATGGATGTACATATGCAATGGAGGGGATTCATTTCACAATCCATATTTCACTACTAGAAACAAGGCCATCATCGATGGACGAAACTATCGAGGCTTGTGATGGATCAACGACAAAATGATTCCATAGACCAGAAAAAGTTTGTCAACCAATCTAGTGAGGAATTTGACGGAATTGTTTAAATTTGCGACAAAATTTCAATCACGAAAGGGTCATTAATACGCTCATTTAGGGTATAGGTGACCAAATTTAATGACAAAAGCCACGACCTTCCTGTCATAAGTCTGTTCATAATCACTCACAACATTCTTATAATAAATTTGGTTATTCTGTTGGTAATCTGTCGTAGATCTCAAATTTTGCATTTTGTTTTTTCGTCGGCAATCCCTCACAATGTCTCATTTCAGAATTTTTTTTTCCCGTAGATAATCTCTCGTAAATTTTAAGTTTTAAAATTAATTTGCTTTAAAATCGAAGAAAAAATGCCTCAAGTTATATAATGAAAAATCCGAAATTCTGACATTATATATTCCAAAATTCAGTAAATTACATAATCTAAACTAAACAATAATATTTTTAAATGCCAAAAACCATCGATTATCAAACTAAACAATGATATTTTTAACATTAATTCACTAAATAATAATATTTTTAAATGCCAAAAACCATCGATTATCAAAGTATAACATCAATTCACATTGAATTTCAAAATATAATATACCTAAATTCTCAGTGTCTTCTCATATTTTAACAGCATCTGATAATTGCATTTTATTTCTTATTTTGTTCCCTTTTATTAAAATTAATAGTTATGATCATGAATAAATTACTTTTATGGGTTAATACCATAAAAGCCATAAGTTTTACATCCCAATTCTAAATTAGCCCTAAATGGATTTTTTGTGTCTAATTAGCCATTATGTATGTGTTGACTTTTGCCTCAAACCCTGTTAGCCGGTTTCCCCGGTTACCCCTTTACAAATAGGGGTTTTACCGTTAGAAACCCATCTTCCACCTCCTACTTCTACATTCTCCGACTTCTTCTTCCACGCATCAACTTCTTCATGGCTAGTTCATCTACAGGGTCAATGACTTCAGGATTTCAAAATGTTAATGTCAATTTCAGGAACATAAACAACCCCATGGTTTTGTGTCGTTGTGGTGTTGAGGCTAGCTTCTCAATTTCGTGGACGGACAAGAATCCTGGAAGAAAATTTAGGGGATGCACCAACTACAAGGTATGTTCTTCACTCTTTGATCCCATATAAAGTTTTGTTATGGGACTAAGGGTAAATCTGTCATAAAAATGTGCAGGATCCTTCCAGGTATTGTAAGTTCTTCATGTGGTTGGACCCACCTTTGCCTAGTGAAGATTACAAAAACCTCATGTACCAAATGCATTTAACTCTGGTTGGTATGGCTGATGGCAATGTTCAGTTGGAACATGTGAATGTGGATCAAAATAGGAGGTTGATGTTGATGATGAAGCTTATGTTCATCATGGTCATGCTATTTGCAGTGATGTTGGTAACAGGGACTGTATTGCTGGTGAAATTATAGGAAGTTAGGAAGTTAAGTTTAGTCTTTTGTGAAGTTGTTGGTTAGGTGAAATTGTATTAGATGCTTATTTTAGCACAGTTGTAATAGCATCTGAAAACATTTTGATGGTTGTAATATGGGTACCCTTGTAATACATAGTCATACGGGACAATTAATATGAAAAGCATTAACCAGAAATTGACAATTTACTATCCATTACAAACTGACATTGAAATTTGAACTTACTACAAACCACAGTCTTTATAAACATAATAGCCAAATACATACATGGAGGGTAACAATCAGAACCAAACTTCCAATTTTACAACAATGTTTACAAGCCAAAAGATGATTTCCCAAAATGACAATGTTACTACAATTTACAGTCAAAAGATAACATGTTGTCAACAAATTGGAAGCTTGTTACCAAAAGATGCTTTCACAAAAAAGGGCTATCAAAAGATTTATGCCCAATTAACTCCCCATCCATAACAACATCTGTCCAATGTAAGTGCTTTATCAGTTGTTGAACGACCTCCATCTGGATCATGCACTGCCTTTTTCAACTTAATCTTGATATATCTTTCTGAGGGCTTCCTTTTTCTTACCAACGGATCTTGTGTTTCTTGACTGGTCTCTTCATCAACTATACTCTCAACCAACATCTCCTTCCTCTCTTTTGTCAACTGTGAATAAGAAATTAACATAAACATATTATCACATAATGTTCAAGAAAATTGTGTTAATAATTAAATTTATAACTACACACCTTATTAAAAGCTTCAACAATTTCCCCATGATCATATCCAGATGCCTGCAGATCTTTAGGAAACAACCATCCAAACCTATCACACGTCTGCAACCCCTATTCCAACCATCCTTAAAAGACTTTAAGCACACATAAAACCTTTTGAAATAGTTCATGCCACTTGCATTAGAATCTACTCCCACCTTACAAGTGCTCCTTGGGTTAGACCTGAGGATTTCTACAGCATAGTCCCATACCTTTGCATAATGTTCTTCTAACTTACCTTCTATCATCTCTCTTGCCTTTGTCATAGCCCTGTGACATTGCCCCTTAGATACATTTACTGAAAACATCCTAAGTACATCTTCCTTCATCTCAGTTAATGTCATCTTTGGCTTCATAATAATATCCTTCAGGTAATGTTTGGCCAACCAGTTACAACTAACCAAAGTTCCAAAATTAAAATTTCTAGCACATAGATGTATGTCACATATAGATTTAATCTGAAATGTTCGTTCATTATACTTCCAAGCAGCATAAACTCTAAAGGGACATGGGTCTTTTTTATATATTTTCCCACACCTAGCAATCACTCTATGCCTATCACTCTTCATAAACCACAAATGATATCCATTAGCTACTGCATAGTTAGTTAATGCAAACCTGAGTTGAGAAGGGGACTCGTAACACTCTCCCACTACATGCTTAATTTGTTTCTAATGTATGTCTGGATCATGAACCATGTACTCTACACCTACTTCACCGTCATTTTGATCATCAATATGATCATGTTCTGGATCCTTAACACCAGCTTCCTGATCATCATCTCCCATTCCATCAAGAGTCCTCCTTAGCATATTTTCATCACATAATATGTTAAGGAATGGGTCATCAGACAGGTTTGAGGTTGGTTTAAAGATCTCTGGTGCAAAATCCAGGAAAGAGAAATCTATGAGATCATCATCAGATTCCTCGTCCCTTACATAAACCTTTTCAGGCCCTTTTCACCTTTTTAGTTCCAGATGATGAAGCCATCTGTTCAAGATGAAAAATTATACTTGTAAGTGACACTATGGAACTCGATTCTGTAAGATAAGAACACACATACACAACAATTTCTTATTGGCACCCCACGTACCTTTCTACTTCAGTGATTTTCAACTTAAAAATAGAAGCTTTTTTGCATGCAACAATGGTGTAAGAAACCCTTTTCAAACCCTTCTTCTTCCTCAGACCAACTACATGAAACCCTTTTTTGATGCAAGACGTTTCTGTGAAAGGTGATATTTGGTGGTGTACGAACGATCGAGTAGTATAGGAGAGTGGTGACCGGCTGCGTACCTTGACCTGTTGTTAACAGGCTGATAAAACGATTTTGAAACGGGGTCACAATTATTTAGGCTAATTAGACACAAAAAATCCATTTAGGGCTAATTTAGAATTGGGGTGTAAAACTTATGGCTTTTATGGTATTAACCCTACTTTTATTTGTTTTCTAGACTATTGAATAATGTTATTGCCTTTTCGATGTCTAATTGTAGGAAAATATGGCTTTCAGAGTGATTTAGCAATTATCGGGATGTCTTAAAGGCTTGTGAGTTCGGAGAGAGATCAAAATGGGCTTAAAATGTGTGCTTGGCGGTGTTTTTGGAGCATCTACGACCTAATCGAAGTGAGTTGAATGTGCGTCAACAAGAACCAAGCATAAGTTAATACAAAATCATGAGTCAAAATTGGTCAAAGAAGAGTCGAGCACGCTCCAAGCTACCGGAGGGGCTAATATGGTGCAGTATGTGCTCCGACCTACAACGATAAGTCAACTTTTATTTTTGCTCGGTCTTTGCTGCCTTAGTGCATGCATGTATGCAATCCACACTACTAAAGGATAGTTGGTTCTTTTTTCAACCAAAGATAACTTTAAGGACAAGGGTTTGGTCAAATTTGGGGGACAAACATGTGTTTAACAACAATGTTTGAGACAATTTTGGATCTTGGAATTTGCTTTTTTTGAAACATCTCAAAAATACAGTCCAAAAATTTCATTTTTAAATCATTAAGAAAACCATAATATTAAACATCATATAAAACCATGAGTAGTGTATCTTGAAATATTATAAACATCTGTCAATTATATTAGAGTAAAAACATCCCAGGTTATAAGAAATGGTGTGTGCACTGCAATCATCCCGAGCTCCTCTTTGAACACCGAAGTACCTGAAACCAAAACTGAAAACTGTAAGCACGAAGCTTAGTGAGTCTCCCTAAACTACCACATACCATACACATAACATGCAACTAGGAGATACGGGCCCCGCCCATTCTCACGGAGATTCGGGCCCCGCCCACACTCTGCTGTCTAGGAGATTCGGTCCCCGGCCACACTCCGCTGTCTAGGAGATTCGGGTTCCGTCCACACTCCGCTGTCTAGGAGATTCGGGCCCAGCCCACACTCTGCTGTCTAGGAGATTCAGGCCCCGTCCACACTCACATATATAAACAACACATACAAGTATCACACAGACAACAAGTATAGCAATCCAACAATCTGACTGTTATCTATACCCTGACAATAATGAGATACGAGTCCCGCGCACACTCAACTACTACATATCACATATACGGGTCGGCCTTGGTGCCTTAGACCCGTTCCTACTTAAGGAAACTCACCTCGCACTGCTGAAGTCCCGCAAATAAATCTCGGGCTGCTGGCTGACGTTTCCCCAAGCTGTCAACATCAAACAAAACACAATTAACCATTTGGGCTTCCTATGCATAACTCTAAAAATTCCCACTTGGGGTAAAAGGACCATTTTACCCCTAACCTAACTTGGTCAAAGATTAAGTGTAACATTCGGATTCCCAGGTATATGATATTATTCATTATATTGAATTTTAGAGAGGGACTCGGCGAGTAGGAACCCCAACTCGCCGAGTTGGATCGTGATACGAGTGCCCTGACTAAGGAGGGACTCGGCGAGTCCATACGTGGACTCGGCGAGTCCACACTGTTTAATGAAACCCTAATTTCTTGAGTTTGTGACCTATTTAAAGGCCCTTATGGCCTCCAATTGCGGCTACCAGTCCATAGAGAGAAACCCTAGAGTGCTTGAGCGTTTTGAGAGAGAAGGGAAGCCATTCTTGACCTTTGTGGTGTTGTTTAGCAAGAAGAAGGAGGTCCTAGCCAAGAGAAAGCAAAGGAGGTTGCTATTCTGAGGATTTGAAGCTTAGATCATTGCATTTGAGGTATTACTTCGGCTCTTCTTCTGTTTTATGAAGAATATATGGATTTAGGGTTTTTTGTGCCCTTTGCTAGGTTGATTTGATGTCCAAATAGTCCCTTCTGGTGATGAGGCTTTGGATCTGGATCCATAGAGGTCCAGAGAGCCTTACTCATCAAGCTTTATGAAGAACAATGGAGGTCATGACCTTGGGTTAAGGTATTTGGGGCCAAATCATCATATATGGTCATATGGATGTTGTATGTGCATCAAGATTGAGACTTTACGTGATTATAGTGGTTGGAAAGGCCAGATCTATGGATTAGAGGAACAGATCTGACCTCAGAAAGTCATTTGAGTGTGAGCATGGAGTGTACTCGCCGAGTCCATGAGAGGACTCGACGAGTTGAGTCGGGTTGCCCCGCGACTCGCGATCTGTGACGACCCGTGGAGTATAGGGTTGACTCAGTGAGTCAAGAGAGGACCAGGGGCGAAGAGGGCATGCGTGTACTCGCCGAGTCACCTTAGTGCACTCGGCGAGTAGGGTCAACTATGACCGTTGACTTCCGTTGACTTTTAGGGTTTCGGTCAACAGTTGGACTTTTGAGTCAAGGAGGGGTAAAATGGTCTTTTACCCTTCTGAGAGATCGTAGAAGGGGGTTTAATCTAGCCTTTGAGAGCCATTACTTATTGAGGATATTTCGTATGTGATTAGGCGGGGGCTAGATCAGTAGATTCGTGTGCGAGATCATCCGAGATACCCGAGGTGAGTCTTCTCACTATACATTACCTAGATTGGTATTTATGTGTAGACCAGAGGGTCTTTTATGCTATGTGTATGTATGAGATTATGTGCATTGTGTTATATGTATGCTATGTTTTGTATAGACCAGACCGGAGGGTCCAACGATATAGACCGGACCGAAGGGTCCAACGATACAGACCGGACCGAAGGGTCCAACGATACAGAACGGACCGAAGGGTCCAACGATACAGACTGGACCGAAGGGTCCAACGAGCTATGACCGGACCAGAGGGTCCAACGAGCTACGGGACTGGAGGGTCCCGCTGAGACACATCGGACCGGAGGGTCGTATTGTAGCCTCGAGTGGCGTATGTGTTGTATGTGGTATATTGGGGAACTCACTAAGCTTTTATGCTTACAGTTGTTGTGTGATGTGTTTCAGGTACTAGTGAGGATCGCGGGAAGGCGCCGACATGATTCGTACACACACGGAGGATTTATTTATACGAGATCTTGGGACATGTTTTGTGATGATACAGAGATTTATTATGATTTTGTGATTTTTATGTGGTGGAAAGTATGTTTTGAAATGAAAAATTGTTTTGAAAAATTAGGTGTTACAAGTTGGTATCAGAGCCTTGGTTTGAGGGATTCGGGTGCATCTTCGGATGAATCCGAACTCAAACTGAGGAGATGAGAAAGTTTTCATAAAATAAACAATTTTTCTAAAAGAATAAAAGATTTGAGAAAGGCAGAAGGAAGCAGTGTGTACGATCAGCCAGCGCCCGAACGGTGATTTCCCAAAATACCCTTACATTATGTGTTATGAGATATGATGTGATATGATATGCATGCTAGAGTAGGCTAGGTAATCATATTAGGACTAGAGTGGCCTGATTTGTGATACCTTAGCCTAGGAATGATTTTGCTGCTATGTGATGCTTGAGAGCGAATAGGTAGCAGTGAGGAGCTGTTGAGAGGTCTACCGAAGGGTAGCCTATGCCAGTGAGATATAGTGTACTTGTGATCTGGGATCCAAGGAGGAGGACTTAGAGTGAATGCTGATGCGGTGTGGACGGTAGTATAGGGCCCGTACTACTGAAGACACCGGAGCAGCGCGCACCCTAAGTAAGAATCCATTGGGTACTCAGGAACAAGTAGGGTTGAGTTATCGAGTGCGAGTATACTCGATCGAGTCTCTGGTATCTTCATGTTGTGTTTCAGAGACATCATGGTTGGTACACCACACACGCAGGAGGGCAGCGGTATTAGCAATGATGAGATTCGCAGTATGATTATGACGAAATGACCGCGGCGATCCGGAGGATTTTGAGTAGCGAATTGAGGAGTGATGTCATGGTTCGAGTACCATGATAAGTAGCGGATTGAGGAGTGATGTCATGGTTTGAGTGCCATGATAAGTAGTGGATTGAGAGGTGATGTCATGGTTCGAGTACCATGATTGATGGCAGATCGAGAGGTGATGTCATGGTTCGAGTACCATGAATGGTAGCAGATCGAGAGGTGATGTCATGGTTCGAGTACCATGATTGGTGGTAGATCGAGAGGTGATGTCATGTTTCGAGTACCATGAATGGTAGCAGATCGAGAGGTGATGTCATGGTTCGAGTACCATGATTGGTGGCAAATCGAGGGGTGATTTCGTGGTTCGAGTACCATGATTTGAGGCGGGTTGAGAAGAGAGGATATTTCGTGGTTCGAGTTCCATGAAATGTGGCGGTGAGTGCTTCTGGTTTTGCCGGTTATTCCACAGCAATTATCTAGTCCAAGGTCGGATGTGAAGGAGTATGGGCCCAGAAGGCCAGGGAGAACGAGTTTTAGTGGAGCATCCCTTGATAGGGAAAACGAGTTAGCTCTAAGGGATTGTTGGTGA